GATCACAGGATCTCACCAGCTGGCCCTGCATAGTGCCTCCAGAGGCAGGGAGATGCAGCCGCAGGCTGGGGAAGGAGGAAGGCAAGAGAGAGGACCCGGCAGAGCTCTAACAAGCAGCTCCGCCGGGTCCTCTCGCAGGATTCTGAGCGTTGCCGCGGTTACCACGGCAATGCTCAGCTCTCGCGAGAGTGAACTCTAGCCTGCAGGCTAGAGTTCACTCTCACCACTAGGACCACCAGGGAATGCAGCATGGTCCCCCCTCAAGGCAGAATGGCTACCCCCAGGCTAAAGGTAAGAAGGGGGGGGGGACATAACTTTTCTTTTTTAATAACTTTTCTTTTTTAATTATTAATAAAAAAAATTTAAATAAATTCCCTAACAGCCCCCTCACACACAGAGCACCCAAACACACCAGCACCCCCAGACACCCACAGCACCCCCAGACACACACAGCACCCAGACACACACAGCACCCAGACACACACAGCACCCAAACACACCAGCACCCCCAGACACACACAGCACCCAAACACACACACACAGCACCCAGACACACACACAGCACCCAAACACATACAGCACCCAGACACACACAGCACCCAAACACACACAGCACCCAAACACACACAGCACCCAGAACACACCAGACCCCAGACACACACAGCACCCCAGACACACACAGCACCCCCAAACACACACAGCACCCAAACACACAGCACCCAGGACACACACTGGAAGCACCCAAACACACACAGCACCCAGACACACATTGAACACCCAAACACACACAGCACCCAAACACACAGCACCCTCACACACACAGCACCCAAACACACACAGCACACACAGCACCCCTCAGACACACACACAGCACCCTCAGAACACAGCACCTCCCCAGACACACAGACACAGACACACACAGCACCCAAACACAGCACAGACACACACAGCACCCCACAGCACCCACACACACAGCACCCCACAGACACATCACAGACACACATACAGCACCCCTAGATACACACACACACACAGACATACAGCACCCTCACTCCCACACATATACAGCATATATATATATATATATATATATATATATTATATATAAAATAAACCTCAGTGAGTTAACAGACAAAGAAAATTAGAAACCTAGAATGTGACGGCAGATAAAAACACCCTCACACACAGCACCCCTCTTACACAAACACACTGCACACCTCACACATACAATACGTCCACACACACACACACTACAGCACCCCTCACACTGCACCACTACACACATTACGCTCCAGATACACGCTAGATCCCTTACCCATGCACTCTTAATCTTCTACACACACACACACTCTTCTATACACACTCTGGGTCCTTTACACACTAGATCTCTTACACACACACACACACACACACTGCACCACCTACACACACACACACTACATTCTTTGTAAGCAAACACATACAACATTTTCTAAACACACCCTCTCTACAACCCCTACACACACTACATCACCTATACACACACTACTGCCCGTATGCACAAACTCGCTACATCCCCTATAACACTATGCCCCTATATACGCAATCTCTACAGCCCCTAGCCACACATAATACACCACAAAATTGACCTATTTACACAATACCACACCACACTCTACACAGGCAATCCCACAAGCTTTCCTGGCCCTTTTGTCCTCTGGTATCCCACTTGTGGAGACACCAAAGACAATTTAAAAGCAAACACAGCGCAAGAATGTTATTACATTTGCTTGCGCTGCACAGAACAAATTCAGGGCCTTTTTCTAATGCTAGAGCTCTTTAGCGGGGCTCTGCGCATTGAACCAACATGCTCACTTTCAGAAGGGGCGTACTTGTCATTAGTGATGACAAAAAACACCCTCTCTGGCCCCGCCCCCTTCTTGGGGGGCCGCTCTAATTGAAAAATGCCCGGGCCTAATTTTTTTCCCAGTCCGGCCCTGATCAAAGGTGTGCAGGAAGGTTGAGCATCACCAATGTTAACCTCTTTAACACCTTGAACACCGTGAACCATAAGCACAGTGAAAACTGTAAAATGACATACAATACATTTGTTTACAGAGATCATTAAAAGGGGGTTACAACAGAATTACAAATGTGGAGTTACAAGGTGGAGTTCAGTTGTCTGCACACATATCTAAATTACATTAAACATCTAAGGAAACATGATTATATGTACAAGGTTTTGGATTATCTACAGAATATCTTTTAACTAACAGCATGGACACAATATATGCCTAAGAATGCATATACTTTTAGACAATGCACTTTTACTGCGTACCTCTCTCCGCTTGCCAAGGGGTGCAACTTTAAACTTTAGAAAAACCTAAATAACAATTGCCTTCCCACAAGGTGCTGCTGGCTTGCTTGCATCTGAATGCTGAGTCCCAGAGAGCCTCCAAAACTAGAAGAAGGAAGGGGGTCTGATGATCAAACATTCCCCAAGGAAACAAGAGGAAGGCAGATAGGTTCCGCCTGTGGCAGTCAGTGCTAAACAAGGATTTAAAGTAATAAGCAGACAGTTAGACTCCCACCAAATTAGGTTATGACGAATATAACTTAGAGTCATACATAATTTTCAGAACATAACCACGGCCGCTACAAATGTGAATCGTACACAATTTAGCTTATAGGTACCTCTGTAACTGGCTACTGTATTGTGTGGTGGTGTGCTAGTGTATCACTAAAACTGATAACTTATTTACTTTTTATGAGACATGAGGACATTCAATAATTTAAGGTTTTGGTACATAGTCCTTCTTATCTTGCAATCTTCTGTCACCTTGACTCGACGAACTAGACCATCCTTTTCTATTTTAGTTTCAATCACATGTCCTAGCTGCCACTGGCATCCTGGAGACATATCTTCTTTGATTATAACTATGTAATTTACTTTCAGGTTACGTCAAGGTGTGTGCCACTTCTGTCTTGTAGAAACACTCATGTGGTATTCCTTTTTCCACCAACTCCAGTACTGTTCTGCTAAATACTGTACTCTACACCACCATTTAGCTGCATATACATCATCCTTTACAAACTTCCCAGGTGGAGGTAATGCAACCTTGGATTTCATCAGGATGAGGTGGTTTGGAGTTAGAGGTTCTGGTGCCTTGGGGTCATTGATTCCATCGACAGTTAAAGGACGACTGTTAACATTGGCCATGGCTTCATAAAATAGTGTTCCAAGAGAAATATACGTTGCTCTACTGCTGGATGAAGCTGCTGAAGCTCTAAGAGGGCTTGAACTTGGAAGACCATCTCCCCTTTGAAGAAGTTATAGCCCTTGTGGGGAAATTTGCTGTTGAGCTAAACCTATCACTACCTCCCCAGCCTTCCTACATTCCTCCACTGCACAAGATTGCTGCAATGATTTGTCTTCAATCTTATTCTCTTGATTCTTGCAATCACCTTAACGAGCATTAACCAACTGGAAAACTTGTTCAGACGATTTAGAATATCAGTTTGTTCACTGACTTGTGATGCAAGGGTTGTAATGGGTTTGACTTCGGGGTCACCTACAATCAGTTCTGCTGAAGAGCTTGGAGATGCGAGCACTTCAGATTTCCATAGGAAACAAAGCTCAGATAAATAGCTCGAGGGGGAAATATCTGCTACGTGAAGACCCCTGGATGCATGGTTGGCTGGGTTTTGTGCTGTATCCACATAATGCCACTGAGTTGGATCTGTAATCTCTCTGATGAGTTGAACACGATTGGCTACAAACACGTGAAATCTCTCGCTTCATTATTGATGTAGGTCAAAACTACCAGGGAGTCTGTCCAGAAGAATTCTTTGTCAATTTCTATTTCGAGTTCTACCTTCAGCATGACACTCAACCTTGCTGCGGTGACTGCAGCTGAGAGTTCAAGCCTTGGGATGCTCACGATCTTAGTCTCGCCACTCTTTCTTTAGCCATTACGACGCTGCAATGGGACTTGACCTCTGTCATTCTTGTACCTAACATATGAACAGGCACCATATCCTACGTTGCTGGCATCTGAAAAGTGGTGTAGTTCCATCTTCACTGTGTTACCGAAGTCTGGAGGATGGTAGCATCAGGGTATCTTGATTTCCCTTAAAGCTTGCAGACTACTCTTCCAAGCCTCCCACCGTGGGCTTAAGCTCTCAGG